AGTTACAAGATCCTCTTCTTTATCAATTACTACCCTTACTTTAACCTCCGACATTCTCCAAGACCAGTATTTGAATTTTCTGTATAGTTCAGTCAACCTTGTAATGAAAGCTTTGGTTTGTTTTTCTGCAACTTGAGTTCTGTAGCTGCTAGAGAGAAAATTCTCTTCCTGGGCACACTTAGAAACCTGTTCATGTGCATCTGGAGCTGGTTGGTTTTATTGGAGTTTATTGCTGTCCTTCACCACATTTTGAGATGCTAGAAATTGTTAACGTTATCACAGAACTCATTATTTTCCTTTGTCAGTTTATTCAGAGATAGGAGCAACCAACCAGCGTCTCCATTTTCCTTCTTTTTTTTAATAGGTAGTCAAAAGTCTTACATACAGAGTGCCCAAATCTGTTACCTTTCACAATTGATGCATCAAGATAATCAAGTGTGTTTGTCTCTACAAGCTTGTAAAATACTTTACACCACGGGCTTTCAATATCCTCTGAGCTCTAAGGAGCGGCGTCAGTAACTGTGGCTGTTGGCAAATTGGAAACTTACCTAAAAAGTTCATCCTTACACTTCCGCCATTCTAAAACCACTCTGTTACCAAACCCTGTAATAGATCAGGTCTTGTAGAGGAACAGAACTGATAGAATGAATCTCTCTCTCATTGATCACACAAACACACACACACACACACACACACACACACACACTGGATTTACTAGAGTAGCTTACAGGCTGTGGTCCTGCTAGTCCATTGTTGGTAGGCAACAATGACTCCTAATGGGAAGTCCAAGAACCTTGTAGTTGTTCAGTCCCCGAGGCTGGATGTCTCAGCTGGTCTTCAGCATGTGATGGGATATTGAAGAAGTAGGCTCTAATGCCAGCCAAGGAGTGGACTTGTCAGCCAAAGTGAGGGCAACCAGGCACAAAGAGAGAGTTTCCATCTTCCATGTCCTTTATGTAGACTTCCACCACGTGTGGCCCAGATTGAAGGTGGATCTTTCCACCACAAAATCTCTAGATTAAAAGTGTATCTTCCCACTTCAAATGATTACATAATTAAAGAAAAGTCACTCACAGGTGCTCTCACTGCTTGGGTTTTGTTAATTCCAGATGTAGTTAACCAAGAAACCCACTGAGTGAGTGTTTCAATGTTAACTGATCTTGCTGTTGGCTTGGTCTTGTTGTGTGGCAGGTAGCCATAGACTAGACCTATTTTAAGCTACTTTCTTTCTTTGTTGCCTTCTAGGAAACTGAAATAGGACTTGGGACTCATGGAAATCATGAAGCTGCTTGTAAAGAAATCGTTTCTAACCTGTTGGAGTAAGGGGCCTCCATCTCAACTGCTCTGTGTTGGATGCACAGGTTTGGGAAGTAAGGGTGATGCCTAGTCTTGGTTGTCAACTTGACCATGTCTGAAATGAACTATAACTACAACATTTTTGGGCTGTAGCCTCTAAGTCATTCTAAGAAATTCCTCCCCTGTCCCCCCTCTCCACATTCTCTCTCTCATGGAGAGAAAGAGAGAAAGAGATTCATCCCATAATTTCTGCGACTCTAGAGAACCCTGACTAATACAGTTAACATAAGAGCCCAAGCCCCTTTTAAATTGTGACAACAGCACTTAGACATTTCTATAATTTTTGGCCTAGTTTCTTGAACTCTTGCTCCAAACAATGTGACCTACACAAATGCGTCTCAGCACCCTCTAGAATAGGGTGAATTAATTCATCCAGGGCATTTCCTTTCCTGGGGTATTCTTCTCCCAAGTTCTCAGGGAGTGGAGATAGCGCAGCATAGTGGCCAGATCTCCCCACATTCTATTTTTAAAGCCCCAAGGCCTTGGAAAGCATCTATAAATCCCTCAAACCCCAAAATAGAAGTGGCAAAAAGTTTCCAGTAGTTACAAGACCCGTACCAATATCTGTGTGTGACAGACAGAGGCAACAGGACAAGGTCCGTGTATCTGCTGCGCTATGCTGGGAGTAGCAGCCAAAACGAGGACCGGTTGTCCACCTTCACGTGGAGTGGCTGTGAGGGTCCTAGTTCAAACTAAAAGGACTAGTATGATCCAGCCCCTACTACTCAGTGGCTGCTCTATTAGGTTTTGTTTGTTCTGGGTTTTTTTTTTGTCAAATATTTATTTATTATGTATGCAGTGTTCTGCCTGCATGTCTGTCTACAATCAGGAGAGAACACCAGATCTCATTACAGATGGCTGTGAGCCACCATGTGGTTGCTGGGAATTGAACTCAGGACCTTTGGAAGAGCAGGCAGTGCTCTTAAACACTGAACCATCTCTCCAGCCCCAACTCTATTGGTTTTTTAAAGATTATTTTTACTTATGTGTTTGTATAGTCTAAATTATTATGTGTCAATGTATGCATCTGTGCACAGTGTATGTACAAGTGCCCGTGAGAGGCAGAAAAAGACACTTGATCCACTGCAATTGGAGTTAGGGAGAACTCTCTCCAAGAGCAGTGAGTTTCTTAACCACTGAGCCATCTCTCCCCTCTGCCCTATTAGCCTTAATGCCACTGCCTGTTAGCCCTTGCTAATATCTCCGTGGCTCAGAAATCCCTCATAATGATTATAGCTTTGCTCCTTGGAGAACAATTAGGATGGGATGGTTTTTCTATTTTATTTTTATTTAAAAAATTCTTAATGTTTTTACCTGTGTGAGCGTTTCGCTTGCATATACGTCTGAGCCCCACTTGGGTGCCCATGGGGACAGAGGAGGCATCGTATATCTTGGACTGAAGTTGCAGGTGATTGTGAGCCATCACATGGCTTCTGGGAAACAAAGCTTGCTCCTCTGGAAGAGCATCCAGAGCTCTGGAGCCATCTCTCCAACCCATATTTTAAAATATTGTAATATTTTTTTGGGGGGTTGTTTTTGTTTTTTGAGAAAGTTTTTCTGTGTAGTTTCAGCTGTACTGGAATTCCTTCTGGCCTCAAGCTCACAGAGATATGACTGCCTCTCCTCCCAAGTGCTGGGGTTAAAGGAGTGTACCACTGCTGCCTGGCAAAAATATTTATCTTTATATGTGTGTGTTTAATGTGTATGTGTGCTGTGCATGTTCGCATGTGTGAGTGGGGGAATGTGTGGAGGTCAGAGAACAGTGCAGTCTCTGCCTTCTGCCTTGTTGTGCCTTTGTTGTGAGCAGCTGTGTCAGCCAGGCTCTCTGGTCAAGGTCTTCAGGAGATTCTCATGCCTCCGCCTCCCATCTTATCACAGGAGTGCTGGAGTTGCAGACACTTGTGCTACTGCACCTGACTATGGGTCCTGGATGTATGATCTCAGGTTCTCAAGTTTGTGTGGGAAGTACTTCACCTACGAGCCATCCTTTTGCTTTTTGGATTCTTATTGTTACTTGGAGAATAGGAGATACCAGTCTTCCATCCTTCCTTCCTTCCTTCCTTCCTTCCTCCCTCCCTTCCTCCTTTCTTTCCTCCCTCTCTTCTTCCCTCCCTCCCTCTCTCCCTCCTTCCCTCCCTCCCTCCCTCTCTCCCTCCTTCCCTCCCTCCCTCCCTCTCTCCCTCCTTCCCTCCCTCTCTCCCTCCTTCCCTCCCTCTCTCCCTCCCTCCTTCCCTCCTTTTCTCCCTTCCCTCCTTCCCTCCCTCTCTCCCTCCCTCCTTCCCTCCCTTCCTCTTTCTTTCTTTCTTTCTTTCTTTCTTTCTTTCTTTCTTCCTTTAGTTTTTTGAGACAGGGTTCTCTGTGTTACCTTAGCGTTCTGGGGGCCACGCTGGCCTTGAATTCACAGAGATCCACCTGTCTCTGCCTCCAGAGTGCTGGGATTAAAGGTGTGTGCCTCCAAGGCCAGCTACCAACAGCCGTTCTTTGCTCACAAAAACCGTTAACCTTCCCAGCGAAGGTTATTTATTTAGTATATTTGTCTTTCTTTCACTCAAGGAAGAATCCTTGAGATCCTCCGAGAGCATAGTCCATGTACACCTGCTCTGTGTACATATGCACATGTGTGTGTATGATGTGTGCTGTTAAGGAATTCATGCAGTATACCCACTCACTGGTTTAGCATCTGGGGTAGGAGCTCTCCGAGTTGGTCTGGCTCTGTAATTTGTGTTGCTTCTTATAGGTGTGGTCTCTAAACATATCTGCTTGGGTTCTCCTTTCTCTATACCTCCGTTTGGCTCTCTGCACTCCGTATTCTCTTTTTGCTTACATCTTTCTCTAAGGGTCAGTGGAAGGGCACTGAGATATATTTTTTTGTCCCTTTCAGGTAACGATGCTTCTGACCCAGACGAGGTAGGGGCAGTGATGGTTTGTGTCAACTATCTGAGAATCTTTGGACTCTGGGGAACCCTGGAATTGAGTTTTCAGAAGGAAAACCTCAGCAGTCATTCTGTGTATGTTAGCTAGCTTCCCATAATTATAAGAAATACCCGAGATAATAAACTCATGAAAACAAAGGGTTTCTTCAGCTAGCACACTGTAGCAGGCGTGTGCAGGGAAGCAGTTAGCTATGAGCCTGACGGGAGAATGAGCAGCCAGGGGAATGCTCTTCCCTCGGGGGTGAGTTCAGGCCACTTCCACCCTATTGTAGAAACAAAGTTGAGTTCAGCTCCGGCTCACACACTACGTATGTCTTCTCAGAGCATCTACTCTAAGTCTCAGCTTCCTTAGCTGCAGAATTAGCTATTAAGAGACCAGGTTCACAGACCCCTTTAGGAAATACTCCGCATGAAAGCATTTAGAAACAGCGCAGAAAACCAATTTGCTGTCCTTGCTTCTAGCACTTTCCCTGCCCAACTACACCTTCTTTTTACCCAAGATTCCCTAATCCCACATTTTGTTTTCTGGCAAACTGAGATTGTTTTGTTCCTTTTAATCAAGTTTTGCATTACAAACTCTTTTCTGATGAGGTTTTATTTCTCTAAAAACTTTGAGCCAAAGTGTACACATTTGGAACACAGGCTTATTTTTAAAAACATTATCTCATATGGCCTTAGGAACATGGGGAGGTGAGCCTGAGCTCTGGCCCCTCAGAGGTGGGGGGACCAGCCAGCTACAGCTATGTTCTCACCAGTGATATAGCTGGCCTCCGGGGAGCACAGGAAAGACACGATTCCTGCACAGTCCTCAGGCTGACCCACTCTGTATGGAGAGAGAAGAGGAGGCTGAAAACTGACGTCCTCCACATCAGCCCCATGGGCCTGTGGGAAGCGGAGGCTTGTGGGCTCTGCGAGGAGCTACAGAGACTGTCTCAAGCCTTTGGGGGATCTTCAGATCCTAGAAAGGGGAGTGGCTAATGACCCGCAGAACAACAGACTCTGATGTCTCATCTTTCATGTAGGTTCTGAGGTCATGCTAATTCAGGTCTACAGGGGAGTCTGCCTCACGATAACCTACCTCTGCATTCCAAAGACATACTTCAAATGGTCCTCAAAGGCCGGGTCTTCAGTGAGCTAAAGGCAAGGTCAGAAGTTAGAGTCCCGTTTACGCAGGATGCAGTCACATGGGCTCTGCAGGACGCATGCTATATGTTCGTGAAAGGGCTTCTCTGGGGACACTCTGGGATGACCCTGATTTTGACTCTAATTGGATCCCCAAAGCTGTGGATCAGAACATCTGAGTGAAAAGGAGACCAAAGGTTTAAGCCTAAGGCTGCAGGTCCCATTAGGAGAGCACGGCCCACAGAAGCAACTAAGCAGGGGTCGCGTAGGCTCACAGGGACTGAAGCGACAATCACCGAGCCTGCATGGGTCCGAACTAGAGCCTCTGCACTCATGCTGTGGTTGTTTGACTCCGTGTTTTTCTAGGACTCCTCACAATGGGAGAGGGGTGTCTCTGACTCTTTTGCCGGCTCGTTGGACCCTTGTTCTCCTACTGGATTGCTTGGTCCAACCTTGATAGGGTTGGTGCCTGATCTTGTATCTTGTAATATTGTATCTTGTGTTTGGCTGATATCGCTGGGGGACTGCTCTTTACTGAAGGGAAAGAGGAGTGGATCTCCGGGAGAGGGGAAGTGGCAGGGACGACAACTCGGAGGTGTGGAGGGAGGGGAAATTGTGGTCAGGATGATCATATGAGAGATTTATAAAAAAGAGTGCAGGGGCATATCTGGGAGGCGGCGGGCGCCCAGAACTCAGGGGCTGGACAAGCTTCTTGCCCTTGGTCCTCACCACACGGCCGAAGTCTGTGTTGATGACGCCTGGTGCTAAGCAGTTCACTCGAATGTTCTTCGGCGCTAGCTCTACTGCCAGGGTCTTGGTTAGTCCCAGAAGGGCTGTTTTACTGACATTGTAGACTCCCAGCCTCTGAGGACAGAAAGAGGGCCAGATGGGGAGACTGGAATTGAGGATTTGTGTTTCCTGCGTTCTTCTCAGGGAATCTGTCCTGGTTAGTATCCTGATCACCAAGTTTGAAAGTCAGTGTCCAGAAGAGACGGCACATGTTCCTCCTACAGGCATTTATAGAAGATGAAATGCCTCTTTTGCCTATGAGCAGTTCTGAGAAAGCCTCTGTTAAACGCCCGGTTATCTCCATACACCCCATTTTCTCAAAAAGGGGAGTTTCCGCTAATCTGACTGCAGCCACAGAGAGTCATACTTACAGGAAATGGTATATAGGCTGCAACGGAGGACACCAGGACCACGGAACCTTGTCTGACAAGATAAAGAGGGACAGAACATAAGCTGACCCCGGTTATCTTCTGCGTGACTGAGAATAGAGTTGGTGTTGGGGGATGGTAGGCATGGGAGTCACGGAGAACAGCTTAGGCCGGGCAGGATTTATCTTCCTTTTCCTCTACATCCTTGATAATGCTTATCAGGTTATAGTAACAGAAAGGCCGCCTGTGTTTGGACTTTGTTTTTGGAAAGAAGTTGACTGTGGATTACTATGCTAAATGGACATAGTATAAACTTACTGCTGTTTTATTTTTGAGACAAGTTCTTTCTATTAGGTAGCTCTGGCTGTTCTGGAACTTGCTTCATAAACCAGGCTGACCCTGAACTCAGAGAGATCTGCCTTTCTCTTCCTCTTGAGTGTTGGGATTAAAGGTGTGCACCACCACCGTCTGTCAAACTCTCATATCTCTCAACCCTCATTCGAGAAGCTTCTGTTGTGGCTGATGGGGATTGACACAGAAACCCCCAGTTGGTCAAGGCAAAGAGAATGCGAGCTCAGCCAACACGAGACAACTCGTTCACACCTCCTCCTCCCCAGGACGAGGCTGCCAAAAGAGTTTAAGAACCAGAGGTTTTGGATGACCAGAGGTTTTTCCAGACACGGCAGGACAGCTGTTCAGAGAAGTGCACAGCTGTTGTGATGGTGTGCACAAGATCTACATGAGCTCAACTCAGACCTACTCCTAGCACAGAGCTGTGGGCATGAAGACCCACCCTGCGCTGAGGACAAGAGAGAATAAAAAAAAAAAAAGCCAGGAAATTGGATGGGGCGGGTTGCTCTGGGAGGAGTGAAGGAAAGGATGGATATGATCCAAACGAGCATTTGAAGTTCTCAAAACCTAATAAAATAAGGAAAAATAGACTAGAACTATTTTCTACGCGTTCTTGAATTAATTTTGGTAGGGTATATGATTTTAGAAATTGTGTTTCATTACAGTTTCAGCCTGTGTTCGTCACAAGGTTTCCCAGTTGGCACTCTCATTTGCTTAATGGTGTTTTATTGCCTTTTGCCTCTCTAGTGGTGCTTTTGTCTTTATTCCTGATATTATTCTTTCCCTCATCAGTTTCACTAGCAATCTGTCAAAAGCACCATTTTTTAAAAAAATACATCTTTGGTTTTATTTATTTATGTATTATATTGCTCCCAGTCTCTCTTGCTCCTCCTCCAGCCTCCTCCCTTGAATGTGTGTGTGTGTGTGTGTGTGTGTGTGTGTGTGTGTACATGAGTGTGTGAATGCAAGTGTGTCTGGACATCGGAGGACACGCTTGGGTGTCATCCTCCAGCCTCCTCCCTTGAATGTGTGTGTGTGTGTGTGTGTGTGTGTGTGTACATGAGTGTGTGAATGCAAGTGTGTCTGGACATCAGAGGACACGCTTGGATGTCATTCTCAGGTGTCATGCTCTGTCTTTGAGGAGGGATGTTTCAGCTCTCTTGCCTCCGTGGCTAGGCTGGGTGGCTAGGGCCTTCAGTGGTGAAGCACAGGGCTTCCTTTTGTGGGTTCTGTGGAGCAAGCGCAGGTCCCCATGCTCACGAGGCAAGCACTTTATTTACCTCCCTGGCCCAGCTTGGTGATTGTTATATTTTAACAGTTTTACCAATGAACTAAGAATCCCTTACCATCTAACCTTCAATTCTGCGATTTTTAAGTCCCACCCACCCCAGTTCCCTTTTGTCTGTCTGTTTTCGTTTTCTTTTGGATTTTGTTTGTTTTGTCTCTACCTCCCTGTCCTTTTAGTTTAAAAATGTATCTTGTCCTCTGTGGCCATTGTTGGAGCTGTCTGTGCACAAAGGAAAATGGAGCTGTCTAACTAATTAAAATATAATAATGTCCTTGCTCTGTCTAAACAACATAGGAATCTCTTAACAGTGTAACTCAACTTCTATCTTTCTGATGTGAAAATTTTTCTTGTATGTTTTTATTTCTCTGAAAGCTCCAAGACAGTTTTGTTTTTGCGGAATAGATGGTTTGGTTTGCTCATGTTACTATTTTCTCCGCCTTTCACTCCAATTTTTGTCTCAGGTTTTATAGGTTTTACAGACCGGCTGTCTAATTCCTCCTGCAGGAAGCAAGTGGCTTAGAATGTCCTTCAGTGAGTGACGCCTGTCTGCCCCCGAGCGCTGTAACCCTACCCTGGGTTTCTGAGAGATGCATTTGTTGAGTATAGAATTACACGTTGAGAGTGCTGCTTTCTCCAGCGTACAGGAAGCTCCATTTAAATTGGGTCTTGAAGAAGGATAATTAGGACTTTTAGCAAGTCGGCAAGACTGGATGGAAATATTTTAAATGGAGTTCATTTCATGAAATTCTGCCTTCTTCAAAAACAATTGAAGCAATTTGGCTTGCTTAGATCCCAGAATAATAGTAATAAATTAATATTTTTGTAAATGGCAAGCTGAATTTAATTATGAAATTATATCTCTACTACTTATATGATAAACTAAGCTGCAGGTCATTTTACTTTCAAATAATACCTATTACTTATTATAGTAAATACATAGATAGATTTTTTTACTTCATTTGGGAGCTGGCATTTGTTATGTCGGTTATGTTCAGGAATCCATTAACCATCTGAGCTGGACCTGAAGACCGTGAATGTCAGGGATGCATGGCAGTGATGAGCCCCCATCTAAAGGCCTCAGACTTCACAGCCCGTGCTGTCCTCTCATTAGTTCTTTCTAGCTAGTTCTGTGCAGCTGGGTTCTGCAGAGGTGCCCAGGTCAGCTACCGGGAAGCAGAATATTCCACATATCAGCCCCAGCATTGGCTGTTTTTGTCTGTTTGTGTTGGACTCACACAGAGGGCACCCTCTGATGGACAGGACCATGCTGCTAAAAGAAAAATCCAAAGCCATCGGATTGAACTGCATCCTATGAGCTACCGTTTGGCCATTTTTTCCTCTCTCTTTAAAGAACTTATTATTTTCTTTTAAAAAGAAAACAAACTGTCTTTTTTCATTATATATACCAATCCAAGTTCCCACTCCTTCCTTTCCTCCCATTCCCTCCACATACCCTCCCACCCCATCCCACTTCAATCCTCAGAAAGGGTAAGACACATTGCTTTGGGGAAGGTCCAAGGCCCTCCCTACTATATCTAGGTTGAGCAAATCATACATCTAAAGAGAATAGAATCCCCCAAAGCCAGTACATGCAGTAGGGATAAATCCTGGTGCCACTGCCAGTGGCCCCTCAGTCTGCCCCAGCCTTGAGACTGTCAACCACATTTAGAGGGACTAGTTTGGTCCTATGCTTTTTCCTTCCCATTCCGGCCAGAGTTGGTGAGCTCCCATTAGCTCAGTTAGACTGTTTCAGTGGGTGCACCCATCAGCAGTAAAAAACAATAACATCTTGAATTTTGCATGCAAATGTATGGAACTAGAAAACACTATGCTGAGTGAGGTAACCCAGACCCAAAAAGATGAATATGGTATGTACTCACTCATATGTGGATACTAGCTATAAACAAAGGATATTGAGCCTACAATTCATGATCCCAGAGAAGCTAAGTAATAAGGTGAACCCTAAGAAAAATATATAGAGATCTAAATAGACAAGATCGCCTGACAACATTGGGGGCATGCGGATGGGGGGAGAAGGAAGGATAGAAGGGGAAAAGTAGGGGAGAAGGGGAGGGGCAAGGAGAACTTGAGGGAATGGGATGGTTGAGATGAAATAAGGACAGAGATGAGAGCAAGGAAAGAGATCTTGATTGAGGGAGCCATTATAGGGTTAGCAGAAACCTGGCTCTAGAGAAATTCCCAGGAATCCACAAGGATGACCCTACCTAAGACCCTAATAAAGGAGAGTGGGCCAGATCTTGACTTGCCCTGTAGTCAGACTGATGAATAGCTTTTTTTTTTTTCTTCAAGACAGGGTTTCTCTGTAGTTTTGGAACCTGTCCTGGAACTAGCTCTTGTAGATCAGGCTGGCCTTGAACTCACAGAGATCCACCTGCCTCCCGAGTGTTGGGATTAAAGGTGTGTGCCACCGTTGCCCTGCTCTGACTGATGAATGTCTTAAATATCACCATAGAACCTTCATCCAGCAACTGATGGAAACAGAGGCAGAGACCTGCATCAGAGCACTGGACTGAGCTCCCAAAGTCCAGTTGAAGAGTGGGAGGAATGAGAATATGGGCAAAGACATTTGGCCATTTTTATCCTGCAAATGTGGCCCTTTTGAAAATATGGTTCAGTCGAATCCTACAGCATGCCTGTGTTGGAACTGGAACGGGGCTTCATCGTCATAGTAAGAAGTGCTGGCTGTATTTCACAGGCAACAGCTATGTCTAGAGAAGCAACACCCGGCTTGTACCAAGTATTCGGCCTGTGCTTGTTGGACTCAGAACGCCAACACAGGACCAGACAGGGAAGCAGTGCAGTCGGAAGAGAGATTGGCTTTCTTTTCTCCCTGGGAACCCTATGCATGCTGAGAAGACACTCCACGTGTGCCAAGTTACATGCCCAGCCCTGGAAGCCGAGTCTTTAGGCAGTATGTGTAAAGCACTTGGCCCAGAAACAACCTCCGCTCAGCGCTCTGAGTTACAGAGTGAGGGCCATGTTGGCACAGAAGACTGCCGACGAGTGTCTTCAGAGCAGGAGCGGCTACAAGAGAAGAGACCTGCTAGGTTTTTCAGGGAGAAAGAGACTGGGCCAGGTAGCTGCTGACCTTGACCTCTCAAGACAGCTGCCATACCCAGCTGACGAAGGAAAACAGACAAAGACGGGGTGGGTCTGCAGTTCTTGGGAAAACAGCGACAGGGGTCCTGCCCCCTCCCCCCCCCCCCCCCCCCCGAAAATGCTCAACTCCCGGAAAACACATTTCAGAAAACATCTCAAGCCACTGAGATCAGTGGGAAATCCCGTTGGTGCCCAGTCTCCCTCACAGGTGAGACTACATGGAGCTGATCAGGCCGGTCTCTGTCCCGGCCCGTGACAGAAGGCAGAGAAGCAGGCTACAGAGATGCCCCGTTGCACCTCAGGTCCACCAGTCCCTGCGGCCTGCGCTCCTGCGTGCCGACAGAGGTCACTTTCATTTCTGGATTCGGGACAGTTGTGGGAACTCCTGCCTTCCTATTTCAGTACCCCCTCACGTCCCCCATACCCCCCCCCCCCCCACCACTCCTATTCTCCTTTCAAAAGATTCATCGACAAATTCCTGGACCACTGCGTTCTCTGGGCACAATAATGGATAGGGTTCTTTGATTTCTGTTAGTGATGCCGAAGTCTGAAAGGCAAACTTTTATTGTGCTTGGGTTATTGGCACACTCTTTCTTCCCTGCTCCCAGTTCCATACCGGGTAACTCCTCCCTTTCCCACTTCCCGATCCTCACCCCCTGTTTTCCATATGGGGCAGCAGCTGGCTCAGCAGCAGGGCTGGGGCCTTCACATTCACACCCAGGATCTGAAATCAGAGCAAATAAGAGAGAAGAGATAGAATCAGTTTCATGTTCTTTCATAGCAGGAAACATGCACTGTAGAATGTGTACACAATGCTTCTGCCAAGGAAATTTATTGAGGCCTTTATGGGGCTAAGGCGACATCTTGAGGTTCAGTACTAAAGGGATCAGGTTGATGTCTCTGGGGACTGAGATCATGAAGTCTGGGATATCTTTTCTTAGCTCCAAAGGTACCTGCTTCACCTGGGTCACAACAGATACCATCAGGGAAACCCAGGAAAGGTTGAATTTCAGGATTATGGCCTCTAAGGGCCAGTGTTGTAGAATAAACATTTCTGGGCAAGGGAGGAAGACATTCACTTCTCTAGATGATCAGAATTTCAACTTAGACATTCTTTGTTCCATTTTACAGATGGGGAAATTGAGGCTCAGGGAGTCTGAACCCCTGGCCTTGCTCTGTGTAGTGAGCTTAGGACAGCACGGATGTGTGGGAGCTGAGAACTCCTCCTAGGTGTGCAAACTTACCCGGGAAGAGGGTTATCCAGATGCTGAGGATGGAGCTCTATCAGCTCTTGTTCGCTTCCCCAGTTCTCACCTTGTCCCAGATCTGCTCACTGCTCCTTAAGGTACTCCCCACCAAGGGATTAGTCCCTGCAACACACACGAGGAAGTCCACACCCCCACAGCTTTCTAGGGCCTGCAGGGAAGGAGGAGACATGGGGGGAAGGGAAGTTTAGTTGCAGTGGGACACCATTCTTGTTGGTCTGGGAATACGCTTGGATCCAGTCCTGGAGAGGAACAACCCTAAGCAAGGCTGGAGAATGGCTGGTTCTCTCTTCAGGAGCCAACAGCAAACTTCTGAACAGAGCTGGGGTTTCAGCTCAGATGGCTTCTGTGCTCCCACCCCAGGTACCCCAACCTGCCAGTTCCTCAACACATCTTTCCTGGAATACACTGACCAGCTCTCCATTTTCCTGAACGCTCTAGATCTGGCTAAGAACCAGGACTTGTTTTTCTATATCTCTGTCACTGCTTGGATTCTCCCTAAGGGTCTGGTTTTCCAGGAGGGTCGGGTGGATGCAGCTTCCTTCGCTCCTAAAGGGCTTCCCACTCCAACATCTCCCTCCTGCCCTGAACGTGTGCTTTCCCTGCTCAGGTCTGTTCAGGGGAGATTATGGGACTGTCAAGCAGAACTGAGTGACATGGTGGTGAGTCAGGTCCTGCAATGGAGTCTTTAACCTGTTGCCCTCGAGTGGATCACAGAAGTTGGACCCCTGTACCCTCACCGTGGCCACCAGTTGCTCCCGGTCTTCTGCCTTCCCCACATGGCACACAGTGCCCGTCACACACAGCCCCTCCTCCTTCAGTGTGGCCACTGCACGGTCCACATTCTGCTGCTTCCGGCTGCTGATGACCACGTGGGCCCCATCCTGGGCCAGACGCCGAGCAATGGAGAAGCCAATCCTGTGGGCAAGGATGGAGAGGATGTTGTGACAGTTCAGGGCTAACCCCTTTCTTTCTTGCTATGTTTTTTTTTTTTTTTTTTGCCCGAGGCATCAAACTAGTTTTCTCTGCTGCTCCAGAGCAGCTAGCTTCATGCCCTACTTCTGCATGATTAAGAAGGCTGAATTGAATCTGTGTTCCTCATCTGATTTTGGCCTCATCTCCACAACCGACTGTCCACGCCCAGTCCCCAAGCCAGTTGCTACTATAGAGCTCTTTGACCCAGGTCTCTGAATGCTGCTGAGTGCTCAGGGGCACTTGGCATGGAAGGATGTCGCTATCAACCCACACAGCACTACCTTCGACTAACAGAAGTTTGAAGCAATGGTTGAATCCCTTCTACCTTCCTCTGATGAGTTACTCCACGATACATTCATGAGTCCTACTGAATTTTGGGCCCATCCACCATGGAGTGTCCTGTATTGGGCCATGCTGGTAACACATCTGGCACTGGCTTTATCTCCAGTCCCTTGGAGTTTCTAAGTAGAATAGTATTCTCAAGACTCTTAAGCCTTAAGGCCTTGCTTTGTGGGCCAAGGTTAGGACAAGGAGGTCAGCCAAATCCAGAGATACCCACAGCTTCCGAGTTCCCAACGGGTTGCTCTCACCCATTTGTGGACCCTGTAACCACAGCGACTTTGTTGGCCAGTGCAAGTCTGCAGTTTGATCCATTACTGGTGCTTCTCACAGAGAGTGCAGGCACAAGGGCTGGGAGTCTCTTCCAGCCCTGGATCAGAGGCCTAAACATTGGGTTTCTGTTTGCTCTTCTTTTTGGCGAGCTTGGTCCAGAGAGGGTGACCTCTAGAAAAGAAAAGCAAACATAGTTACAGTACCAGATCTTATAAGGAGGGGTTTATTTTGATACTCTGTGTTGGGCTGAGCCTGGCATGGTCTAGGACTCTCTAGCGGAAGTTCAATCTAGCAGGAGCACCTAACACTTTGACATAACATTCACTGATCCACACTTCCTCAGTGCTCTAGGGCCAGTGGTGAGGAGGAGGCACGGAGGACCAGGATCAGGGAGGGAAGGGAAGTTTTTGTTGCAATGGGACACCATTCTTTGTTTAGCATCTCTGGGGATATGACTGGATCAAATCCAAAAGGAAGACTTATAAATGTGTTGGGTTGCATTCACAGTTGTCATGGGCTATAGGCTGGACCTGCCTGGGTCAACTTAAGAGGCTATGGCTCTATCTAGTCCGGTGTTTATGAGCTTAAGATTTCCCATGTTCAACCTTTTAAACTGGAATGTTTTTGGCTACCTGGAATCAAGTGCTCACATTTATGTATAGAGGTTCAGCAAACATCCGTTCACTGAGACTCCTTAGGATGATGAGCAGGTAATTCACAGGTTTGCCGTGAAAGGACTAAAGACGTAAGATCCACACATAAGCAGGCTTTGCAGCGACCCAATGACTGCTTAAGGGTCACAAGTTTTATGACTTTGATCTTATCTCAAGCTTTAGGACACACTACACATCTTGTTTCACTGATACTGCATTTTTCAAGTCTTCTAGACTGTTCTTCAGTTTTATCCTGGTGCCAGGGGTGAAGGGGACGGGGTGTTTTCTGAGCCTCAGAGCCAATATTGTCTCTGCCAAAGGATTGTGCGACTCTTGTTTTTGCTCTTCTTGTAACATTCAGCTCGCGGGGCCTGAGCTACGGTGCTGGGTGCTCAGCTCTAGCAGGTGCTGGGCGCTGGCCCTTGCTGACTGGTATCTGCTGGGCCGAACGAATGAATGGAAGAATGAGGGTTTGGCTTCAGTGATCAAGGTTTCCTTAGGGCCTACTGGATCAGTGGGTCAAATTTCTTAGGGTTAGAAGGTTGGGCCATTCTCCCCAAACTGTTAGCTCTGTCAACTCAGCTCTAGCTTCAAAATATTTATCCTAAAGTAGTCATTCTGGCCTTGCCAGTGCTCAGGTGTTGGGTGAACCAGGCATTGTGTACAAAGTAACTTGTGTTTTCCTTATATTTGAGTATCTGACCTTCTGTTCAAACCTCCCCAAATCTATAACTATGAACGCAGCTAAGAAATCAGGGCTCTTATTAAAGCACTTCGACTTTAGTAAATCTTGGGTAAATATCAAAGCAGACAAGTGCTGCTGAAGAAACCTAAAGACAAATCGGATCCATGGTCTTAGGATTTAGCTCAGGCACTTCTCATTCATTGTGGGGCTTTACTTCCCCCGTCGCTGAAGATTCAAAAGAGCAAGCGTGCGTGTGTGCGTGCTTTCTCTTCCTATATCACGTTTCGTGAATGTCACTGAAGGCGATTTAGTCCTAAATTTAAGGGGCTTCATTTGTCTAAGGTCATAATTATTCTTTGTACTCCTTAGCTGCCAGGGGGGAAACAAAACTAACTCTGACTCAGTCTCTATATCCTCACGCGCCCCACGCCCCCTGCCCGGTCCCGCCCCTTTGTCACTTTCTGATGTTTTTCTCCAATCCCTCTCTGCCCCCTGAAAAAGATACAGAATCCAGACATGCACTGTTTGTCTTTAAATTCATTCAATGACTAATTGTGTGTGTGTGTGTGTGTGTGTGTGTGTGTGTGTGTGTCCTCCTCTGGACTGGGTAACAAAGATGACTCTCATGATTTTAGTATTGAGAAACACTCAGTTTGAGCTGGGACTGCAGAAAAATAAATAAAAATTTGGCAAATGTGGTAGAAGCAGAATGTGCTTCACATAGGTTTGGGGGTGCACAGGGAAGGAAGATACTTAGTCTGGGGTGACGGTGGTTAGACAAAACCCCTAGAAGGAGATGTAGATGCCTGAACTCATTTAGGAAAGAGTACTTCTAATGTTGTGGGTTTTAGAGCAAGAACTAATGCTAATAAAAAAGGATATATGCATTTTGTAAATTTTTTTAATCGAAAATTTTATAAGAAAGTTTAGGGAAAATTTGTAAAAGACAAAATGTACCTGGCTTTGAAATGGGTTGGGTGTCACCAGCGGTGGGGGTGGGGGACGACGATGACAATGATGACAACAACTGCACTTTGTCTAATGCTGTCTTCTGGGTGACTGATAACAATGTCGATGATGTCTGTCCCGGGTGCTGAGAAATGTCACCTGAAGACTGCCAACACATTCGCCTTATCCAGAGTGGAAGACCAACTTTGTGTCTAATAAGCAAACTTACTTTACTTAGCGTTTGTTTTACATAGCCGAGACTTTCCGAATTCACTTTAGGATAAACTGTATGTCTTAGAGGCTCCCCTCAGTAATGAACACAACTAGTAAACATTTTGGCACTTATTCATTTTATGTTTGTGTGAGAGTCATGATTTTCACTTTGAAAAAAATCATCCCTTATAGAAGAAAGCGAAAATAAGCCATGCAACAAAGCTAACCATCGCCATTTTAAATATTTTACCTTTCCCTCATCAACACTCCACAGACTTTCTCTGATAAAATAATATCGATATATTCCATGTTACATAAATACCGTAGTACACGTGAATTGATTCAGTTTTTCTGGCTGGTTCTTAAAACATGAGTACAGAAAGGAGTTTGGGAATATGGATTGGATACCAGGCAAGGAAGACAGTATGAGGAGGGGCAAGGACGGCAGAAGATCACCACAGAGCCTGGAACAGGAAGTAGGTGCTAGGGAGTGACTTGAGATGAGGTCCACTCAAGACCTCTGATTCTCAGCCTTCCTGACACTGCGGCACTTTACTACAGTTCCTCATGTTGTGGTGACCCCCAACCATAAAATTATTCCATTGCTCCTTCATAACTGTAAGAATTTATAATTCATAACTTTAATTCTGCTATGGTTATGAATAGTAATGTAGGCATCTGATATACAGGATATCTGATTGGGACCCCCAAAGGGATTGTCAGAACCACTGCTGTAGAATGTCAACAGCCACAAGGAGTTTGACTTCATCCAGAGGCCATGTGGGAGCCACTGAAATTTAATATGAGAATTGAATGTGTCAGATATTGATGTGATCATATTTTTGTTTTATAGGGACTGCTTCAAAGGATTGCGTGATGGAGCTGCTCAGTTTGGTCGGGTTTCTAGTGATAAAGTCGGCAAGGTGTGGCAGCCGCTCTTTATTGAAGGAAGTGATGTAGCAGTGTCAGGTAAGGAGATCCCGAGTAAGCGACAAAGTCACATGTCAGGTACCTGGACTCCGGCATCGTTTGCCCCTGTTGCATTGATGCCTAACTCTCAGACAGTACTTGAGAGTGGGGAGCATGCATGCAATTCAGGGGAGATGCTTGGCTGTATTTTGGTCTTCTTATGCCTTATAGTGACCATGATCAGAAATGTCAGTGATCAGTCGCGCAGTGGTGGCACACACCTTGAATCCCAGCACTCGGGAGGCAGAGGCAGGCGGATCTCTATGAGTTCGAGGCCAGCCTGGTCTACAAGACCTAGTTCCAGGACAGGAATAAAAAAGCTACGGAAAAACCCTGTCTCAAAAAATTAAAAAAAAAAAAAGAAAAGAAATGTCAGTGATCAAAAAGACAAGATCTCCTGAGTAAATTGGGAAGGGAAAGGGGAAGAAGGAAGGTGAATGGAAAAAAAAAACCATATAGCTCAATAAAAATAATAAAAATGAAGTGTCAGTGATCACAACTAGGTAAAGGGAAGCCCTGCAGCAGGTGTGCTTAGGACGATCGTCAGCCCATCAGGGAAGCACATTTTCTCACGCTGAATGTGAAGCATCAAGTCATACCCATGCAGGTGTAGAGCGGGCAACTGGGTGCCCAAGTTTGCAGTTGACATTGGTGAGAGGGCCAGGCTGCCAGTAGATATTTGGGAGTTATCATGCAGACTGGCATGGTTACTGTTCTATTGCTATGAAAAGGCAGCATGACCAAGACAACTTATAAAAGAAAGCATCTTATAGGGGCTTGTTTACATTTTAAGAGGATGAGTTCTGACCATCACGGTGAGTAGCATGGCAGAGAACAAGTAGACATGTCATTGGAATGGTAACTAAGAACTATATCTGATTCATAAGCAGAGAGAGCTAACAGGGAATGGCATAGGCTTTTGAAAACTCAAAGCTCCCTCCCCCCCACCTCCACTAACAGGGCCACACCTCCTAATCTCCTAATCCTTCTTAAACAGTCCATCAGCTGGGAAACAAACATTCAAATATAGGAGTGTCTGAGGACCATTCTTAATCAAACCATCTCTCTCTCTCTCTCTCTCTCTCTCTCCCTCCCTCCCTCTCTCCCTCTGTATGTTGAAAAGTAGGAAGAAAACTAGGTACTTTGTATCTTCAAAGCCAAATGGATGAAAGGGATAAGCCCAATGTACAAACTTTTCTTGTATGAAATGTCTTTATGTAATAGTGCCATATACAATGCCTACAATCAAAATAAAAAGCATGTGGTACACTGCAATATATGTGATGATTTTGGTTTTTGAAAATACCTGTTAATACTAAAATATCACATATACTTATGTATTTATGGCATGCTATGTGATGATCAATACATGCATACATTCTATAATGCTAAAATCAAGGTTATAAAATATTTATCACATATCTTAAGAAAACTGAAAGAGAAGGGAAAAAGTCAAACAGAGAATTCCAAGGAGGAGAATTGGCTTCTGGGAACTGCAGTGATCTAAGGGCTCAGAATTGACTGTTAGCTTGTGCACTGAGGACGCTATTAGTGACGATCACAAAACAGGTTTCGGTGCAAGGATGAGGGTGCAGAACCCAAACTGAGTGGGGTCAGAGATAACGTCAG